CCCCAAAACGTGGGCCCCCCCCCGGGGGGGTTTTTTTTGAATTTTTGGGGGCCCAAAGGGGGTGCAGCCTTTTCCCGGAGAGCCGCCCCCTCGGCCTTGGACAAAAACTCCCGGGGGAGGAAAATTTTCGGTTTTGAGGGGCCCATTTTGAACCCGGGCAGGGAAAGGTTTACCCGGTGGAAGGGGGCCCCCCAATAGCGTTCGAGCGCGGCGGTGGAGATTTTTCGCGCTTTCAGGACCCCCCCGAACCCAAAGGACCCCCCCGGGCCCAAAAAAAAATTTTTCCCCCCCTCCCCCTTTTTGGGCAAAAAAAAAGGGCTTTTAAAACCGGTTTTTCCAGGGGTACCGGTAGGGCCCCCCCCCCCCCCCCCCCCTTTTCAAAGTCTGTGCAAGTGTGAACAGCAGCCAGCTCCTGACCACGGCGCCGCAGGGGCCTGTTGATAGGTCCAGGTGATAGCCCTGGAGAGGCAATTATTGAGTTGACTTAGGGATACCCGCCATAAAAACGGTGTGTATGGTCGGTGGTGGGTGGAGGCTCTCTCTGCTGCCGCGGCGCCCCCGTAGGAACACCATTTTGCGGTCCTGAGCGGCCGTCTTGGAGCAGAAGCTTCCCTGCCTCCTTAGCCATGTTGCGGTGCCCTCGCGCCATCTGGTCCTCGCACTGCTCGCAAGTAAAGCGTCTTCACAGGTCGGCAGATACGCCTCACCTTCAAAAAGGTGGCTGCCTACCCCAAAGCCCAGCCCGGGGCATCGATTTCTCTTGACGATCTCACTTTAAAACGCTGGTGCAGATGGGGTTTTCTCTATAGAAGTCGGAGCCTTGCGTCGAAGGAGAGGCAGCGTGCGGCTCCGTGGACTCGGCCATCACCCGCGGGTGAGAGGGCGATAGGAAGCACTCCCGCCCTCTGAGGCGGCCGTCCGAGTCGGGGAGGCAAACACACAGCCATCCTCGCGGGTGTGGGCAGCCTTATCGGCCCGCTATACTAACCCTTAAGTCGGCCCTTCCTCGGGTCGGCTTCGGAGGCCCCTTAGCCCTAGCCGGAGCTAAGGGAGCCGGCTTTTTCGGCGCTAACCCTAGGAGAAACCGCTCCGGAATAGGGTTACCGGCACCATCGGGCGGCGCCATGCGGATGGAGGGAGTCGGGTCTGCCATCGGCGGGCCGTCAGGGCGCTGAGAAGTCAAGGACGACTTTTTAGCTCCACTTTCGGCGTGCCGGAGTATGCGAGGACAGCCCGTTCTGCCCGTTCGCGGGCTAGTCAGCACTTCTAGCGCAGAGAGGGCAATGGGGCGGAGGCACGCCGCAGCGGCAGGCAAAAGGAATCGGTATCAAAACACGTTCCCGCCGGTACACACACAAAGTAAGCACAGCAC